ATGGTAAATATAATTTTTAATGTTACGTGTTGACTTTTTTCTGGCCATTATATAATCGAGTTTTCCTTCAGGTCGAAAGAGTTGCTAGCATGCTGAATTATTTCCTGTTACAACTCGTGGGCCCGCAAAGGAAATCACTTACCTTGAAAGACCCTGAAAAGTATGAGTTTCGACCCAAATTGTTGCTAAAGCAGGTAAAAAGAATATGGAGAATTGATTTCTTTCATTAAAAAATAGATGAAGCTGCTGTGAAAAAATAATCTTATGTGCTTCTTTTTCTTTTTATGTACCTGAAGATCGTTAACATATATGTCAACCTTGCCCGAGGAGACAAAGATAACATTTTTGCCTCAGCTATCATACGGGATGGCCGTTCGTATAATGAACAGGTGATTGTTTATTTTATTTATTTATTTATTTCGGGTTTTGGTACCTTGATGTATCAGAATATTTATGTATTCGTGTATTTTTTAATTGTAATTTTGTTTGGGGTGGTAGCTATTTGATTTTGCAGCCGATGTGTTGAGGAGAATCGGGGAAGATGTTAGGGTAATTCACGAGTTTGTCGAGCTCGGAAGAAAAGCTAAAGTTGCTGCCTCAGAGGCTATGGATGCCGAAGCTGTTCTTGGCGACATACCGGATGAGTTTCTGGACCCAATTCAGGTAGATTCTTGATTTCCGGAATTTAATTTTAGGCTAAATTGCATTTTTAGTCCCAAGATTCTAACATTTCGTTTTTCCTGTATGTAATATTTTGCTACAATTTCAGTCCTCAAATTGCAATAAATTTCCAAATTTATAGATTTTTTATTAGCAATTTCATGTAATGTAAAATTTGGTTGCAATTTCAGTCATGTATTTTAATATTTTGGTGCAAGTTCAGTCATGTGAGGAACGACTGAAATTGCATCAAAATATTAAATCAAAGGACCAAAATGCCAAAAGGTTCGAACTTTGAGACTAAAATAACTATGGCTTTGGCGTTAAACGAACAGGACTAAAAATGTATTTTTGCCTTAATTTTATTATATTTAATGTTTTGCCTTACTTATTTTTCGAACCGTGCTATTGTTGTTTTTTTGGTTTTCAGTACACGTTAATGAAAGATCCCGTCATTTTGCCTTCGTCAAAAGTCATTGTGGACCGACCCGTTATACAGAGGCATCTCTTGAGTGATAGCGTACGAACGAATGTCTTAAAACATCCGATTTCTTCTTTTTTCCATTGGGTGATTTTCGAAATATGAAAGTTCGAACTTTTGTTTAGAAATTTGACTTTTGAATTTTTGAATTTACAGACCGATCCATTTAACCGGTCGCATCTCACTGCGGACATGTTGATACCCGATGTCGAGTTGAAGGCGAAAATCGAAGAATTTGTCAAATCTCAAGAATTGAAAAGGCGCGGTGAAGGCTCGATTTTGCAAAAGAGCAAAGCCACAATTGAGACGATAAATACGAACTCCACATTGATTGATTAGCGGAGATATATTCTACGGTACCGCGAATCAATCTCTGTAAATTAACTTATAATTAGTAGTATTATGTTTACATTATCTTATTATGCTGACCTGGTAATCGGCATAATAAGATAGGTAGTTGATCATACATTCCCAGCTAACTTTTCAAATTAAATGGTTGAATGGTGGAACCAGCGAATAAATCACCAAAAAATAAAAATAGGTAGTTGATCATACATTCAAACATGTGAATGAAATTTGATGATGAGTGGGCCAATCTCATTTATATAACTACCTTTCACCGGCATTTGCATGCATCAAATTTGATGATGAGTGGCCCAATCTCATTTATATAAGTTACCTTTAACCGACTTTTGCCTTTTATCCGAATCTCATTTATATAACTACCTTCACCGACTTTTGCATGGATCGCCTTTTATCCAACTTTTTCCCACAGCCCACATAATGTGCACTTTCTATATGACATACGTTTTCGCCCGCCTAGCCTAAAATATTAAATAAACACATAATACAAGACTAGATATTAAATATTAAAATAGTGCCACTTAGCCTTCAAAATCCAATGTGCCATTATTCAATAAATCTAGAAGTCTTTTATTTTATATTAGTACAGTACCCGTGCGATGCACGGGCTTTATTATTTTCGTCCTTTTTAAAAAGCAATTTTGTATTTAAATTCGAATTATATAATAAAGTATCGATCATTGATTATAATTAAACTTAACAAATACTTATTATAAGATACGCGTAATGATTTATATTAATCATATTGGGCATGTAAAATAAGAATGTTTTGAAAAATGTTGGCTTCAAAAAATTCATATCGGCCCAATTTACAATGTTGGCTTCGAAAGTTCATATCGGCCAAACAAAACAGAAAAAATAATTCAATGATCCAGATTAGTCAACGAAAATCGACAGTTTAAATTACACTGAACATAGTATAAATAGTGAAATTATCGGACCAAGGGCTTCATTTCTTCCTTCACTTTTTGCCGCTTCCAGCTTCTTTTTTCGTCTTTTTTCATCGATCTTTCAACATTTCCGTTCTAACACTGAGGGCTTTATAAATACATATTCTCTTTTAGTTTTCATTTAATCGATACTTTAAATTAATTTTATGTGTTTTGCACGAAACAAAATATGGATTGTAATTTGAGGGTTTTTATTTTCAATTTTTATAGTTTTATGTTCGAATTTTTTAGTTTTTACAATTAATCAAAAGAATCCTTCTAATTTGAGTGTGCGCCGGTAGATTTTGTTAATTTTAGTTGTTTTGCCTGAAAAAAAAAAATGTGCAATTTTTAATTTTAAGGTTTTTATGTTCAATTTTTGTACTTTTATGTTCGGATTTTTTTGGGTGTTTACGATTAGTCAAAAGAACTCTTAGAATTTGAGTATGTGTCGGTAGATTTGTTATTTTTTTATCGGCAAAATTATTTTGTTACACAAAATTTCTTGACATTCAAATGATATTTTTCTTTTAAAACTCAACTCGGCTGAAAACATACAAATCTGACAATTAATTATGTGATATCATTGATTTTGATGAATTTCACACAATTATTAGGGGTTATGAACTTGCAAGTTTTTTTTCCCAAATTAATGAATGTTGATAGCAATTAATTTTTAAAAAGAATTGGTATTGAAATAAAACTCAAATTTTTAAAAGCATTATTTGTACCAAAATTGAACAATTTGGTTACCAAAATTAAGTATCCGTGATTAAAGGCATGTTTAAATGTTTTCATTTAATAAATAAAAAATAAAACAAAACTTGCCCAAAATAGTATACAATTAATGTTGCCAAATTTTTCTGCTTACTATTTTTGGTAAATAGTAATTCTTATTATATATACTAGTATGAGTCCCGTGCACTGCACGGGTAAGAGATATTCATTAATATTTATAAATTAAAATTTTTTTATTAAATAATATTTGTAAATTAAAAATATAGAATCAAATACCTATATTAATTTGTTGAAAATATTATATAAAGTTTAAATTGTGAAAAGTTACATAAAAATGTCTATTTAAAATTAGTACACAACTCATGCGATACATATAACTGTTAATAAATTACATTATATTCGTTTCAAAATAAGTTTCATTTCAAATTTTTTATTCAGAAATTCGATTTGACTATAATGTGATTACATAAAATAATTATTTTGGTAAAATTTTATCATATATTTGACAACATATGTGAATAATAATTATAAATATAAAATTTATATTGTTTCATTACTTAAAATAATTTATTTTTGTATAAACTATTCAAATAAAAAAAAAATTAAGTAGTTGAGTAATTTATTGAACTATAAATAATTGACTATTTCATTCACGTCCAAGTTAATATTGACCCGTAAGTTATGAATAATTATTTTTTTTTATTTTTAATTTTAAATAAAAATATTTTTATTTTTTTATATATTATATACCAAATTTAAACTATGCAACTAATAAAGGTAATAGCTGCAAGTTTTGTCAATATATTATATTTCACATTTAAATTATTCAACAAATAAAGGTAATAGCCGCAATATTTGACCAAAATAATTTTGTACATTAATTACATTAACTTAGGCAGGATTTTTCAAACTTTGGCAAGAAAAAATAATTGCCCAATTTAGTAATTCTGAATTTTTAGGCGGGAAAACCAAATATTTTTTTATTGATTTTTAGTTACTATTTCAAGTAAATATCATTGTCTTTTTATATATTAATAGATGTCATATTTTTGTAGCGTGCTATGCCACGGGATTTCACGATTTGTTGATTATTAGATATTTAATGATAAATTGTTTGAATCAAATAATTTGTTGACATTAACGTGAAAAAAAAATATTATTTAGTAGTAAATTTAAATTTATATCATTCATGATATTAAATATTCAATATTTTATTATGTTTATATTAAGTACATATTACTTAGGTCACATAATTTTATAATTTTTAATTACTTATTTTGATTAATAATCAAATAATTTATTCCTTTTTCTTTTGAAAATCTAAGGACTCTTTTTTTTTTCTCCCCCAACGAAATGAAATGAGTCTAAAATAATATATAATTGGATGTGATTTACTTGCCAAACATTGGATGTGATTTATTGGTTAATAAATTGTTTAAGCGGGACATGCAAAACATTTCAAAAATATTTGCTGAAAATTATTCAAAACGAAAAATAGAAGCGGGAAAGAATGACTAAAGAAGCGGGAAATGAAATATTTTTTTCAAAGTTTTTCAAATAGTTTTTCTTCTCCTTATTATATAGTAATAGATATAGATATAGATATAGATTATATTATTTATTTTATATTTATGTTTCTACCAACCAATTTTTTATTACATGTATCAATTATCCCACAATTGAGATTAATCTTGGAGACAAAATATTTTTTTTCCCCGACGTACGGACGGACAGAGGATCACTTTTTCTTTGAACTCTTGTTTTTTTGACAATAATTTTTCTGTCTTATTCTTCCATGCCCATGCGCACATCGGAATCCATCCGAGTACCTACTTCAAGCTTGCTGTCGACATCGAGTCGAGTGCATCAATATCCATTCGAGATCCTCTTACAGTACTGGTTAGGTAGAAACTCTGTTACACTGGTTTAGGTAGAAACTGAAAATGAAAGGCACGATCGATGACTGATTAGGTAGAAATTCAAAGGCATATATATGTATATATATATAATATCATTATTACATTTACATATATATTGTAAGACTGTAAAATAGAAGACGTACGTACGTACGTACCCTTAATTCACTTTCCTCCTCCTAATAACATACTAGCAATGGCAAACCGCTGGTCACCCCACGTGGCTCTGTTCCCGTGCTCCGGCATGGGCCACCTCCTCCCCTTCCTCCGGCTAGCCGCCACCCTCTCCTCCCGCGGCTGCCACGTCACCCTCATCACCGTCCACCCCACCGTCAGCTCCGCCGAGTCCACCCACCTCTCCGCCTTCCTCTCCTCCCACCCCAAAATTGCCACCCTCCCTTTCCACCTCCTCCCCCACCGCAAATCCCACCTCACCACCGACGACCCTTTCTTCATCCAGATGGACTCCATCAACGCCTCCCTCCACCTCCTCCCGCCGCTCCTCTCCGCCGCGTCCCCACCCCTCTCCGCCATCGTTGCCGATTTTCCCGTCACCGCCACCCTCGTCCGTCTAACCTCCCACCTACCCCCCGTCTCCCTATACTCCCTACTCACCACCTCCGCAAGATTCGTCGCCCTCACCCTCACCAACCATCTCCCGCACCTCGACCACAGCCAGCACATGATACAAATTCCGGGAATCGGCCCCATGCCAGTTTCCAACATTCCACCGGCGATGCTGGACAAAAGCCACTTCTTCGGGGCCACCATTTCCTCCAACAACTCGTCTCTGCGAGACGTCAAAGCCGTCCTCATCAACACCTTCACCTGGTTCGAACACGATGCTATCCGGGCCTTGACCGAAAACGGGCCGGCCCAAAAAATCCTTCCCATCGGGCCGCTCGAGCCATTCGAGACCGGGCCGGCTCAAGACAATATCACGTGGCTTGACGGACAAGCCGACGGCTCGGTCGTCTTCGTCAGCTTCGGGTCGAGAACCGCTCTAACTGCCGATCAAACACGAGAGCTGGCCCACGGGCTGGAAATAAGCGGGCCCAAATTCCTGTGGGTCCTTAAATCCAGCAAGGTGGACAAGGAAGACGCCGGAAAACCGGAGGATCTGCTGGGGGAGTCCTTTCTGAGGAGAATCGAATTCGAGGGCAAAGGGATGGTGGTCAAGGGGTGGGTTGACCAGGAGCGCATTTTAGCGCACCCCGCCGTGGGAGGGTTTGTGAGCCACTGCGGGTGGAACTCGGTGGTGGAGGCGGCGCGGCTCGGCGTGCCGGTGCTGGCTTGGCCGCAGCACGGGGACCAGCGGGTGAACGCGGAGGTGGTGGAGAAGGTAGGGTTAGGGATTTGGGACAGGGATTGGGGCTGGATCGGGGAGAAGCTGGTGGGCCGGAATGAAATTGCCGACAAGATAAGGGAGCTGATGGTAAATAATAAGGAGCTTAGGGTTACAGCGAAGGAGATAAAGGAGAGAGCTTTGGAGGCCATGGAAGAAGATGGTAGCTCAGATTTGTTTGTTCGGGAATTCATTGAGTCGCTTCAGAACGATTGATTGGAAAATTTGAGATTTTATGTTTGTTGTTGGGACTATAGTATGTTGTTGTGGTTGTTGTAATTTATCTTCATTTTTCTTATATGCTTGTTTTTAAGTAACTAGTATGTACTCGTGCGATAGCACGGTGAGCGCATAACTTAAAACATATTGAAGTACTTATTTTAAGTATAATTAATAAAATTTAATATCTAATNAAAAAAAAAAAAAAAAAAAAATCATCTTCTCTGTACACAATATTATTTGTTTGATTTGGGGGCAAATCATGTTCACCACATATTAGAATTTTCAAACTCTTTCTGTTGGTGACGCTCGAAACAGCAACATATAACTGGCCATGACTGAAAACTGGTTTCTTTAAGAATAAACCAACGTGGGATAAAGATTGACCCTGGCTCTTGTTAATAGTCATTGCATAAGAGACTATGATAGGGAATTGCCTTCGTTGAAACTTAAAAGGTACTCTTGCATCCGAAGGAGTCATCGTCATTCGAGGTATCAACACGTTATCCCCTGCATGGTCGCCCATAAGTATTCTACATTTTAGGACATGATTGGAGAGTCTTGTTATAGCAAACTATAGACTGAAAATTAAAAAATTATAAATAACCTCATAAATTGTTACGCAAATTATTAACCTAACTGCGTTCATTCTATTGGATAATTCATTATCTGTATCCTATAGTGAGCATCTCGTGCGATGCACAGACGCGGTTGTTTTTTAAAACCTTTTTCTAAAATTTATATAAACATTTCATTATAGCAATAAAAGCAATATAAAATATGGAAAATCATATATAATTGTAAGATAATGTTACAAATTAAATATGTATTATGTGTATAATATGTAACAAAATTTACTATAATTAGTTAAAATTAGATCTAGATATATTACGAATTCTACGTAAGGCATTTTTTTGTCAAAACTACCAGGCAAAAAATTATTTCTCATTGACGGATTTACATCAATCATTTCTTTTCTTGATTACATTTCGATAATTATTCTTCTTGTTTTCAACTCTAATATGAATTCTACTCGTAAGCGATACTTACAAAAATCATTGGTATCAAAGTTTCCATTTCCTTTATCATAAAAATACTTAAAAGTCACTATTTACATTCATAAACTTTTTACAACTATTATATAACATTAAAGAAGAACTGGACTTAGGTTTTTTCCCAACAATTTTGGTATTCTTCTCCATGTATAACTTAGTTACCCATTTTACTATTCAAATTATAACACATTAATCATATATAAATCATTACAACATTCATATGACTACGGTTTATAAAATATGTCGCAAATGAATCCTTTAAATTAATAAAATATAATGAGAAGAATACAAAATTACAAACCAAATGCAAAAGTTGATTCAAAGTTTGGGCACATAAGAATAGCCAAAAAACCTAAGTTGATTCAAAGTTTGGGCACATAAAATATGTCAATTACACTATATACAAAGTGAGAATAATAAATTTTCATTAGAAGATCCATTAATCTAAAATAAAAGCAAACAAAAAATTAAACCAAAATAAACCTAAGTCGATATACACACCATCAATTGAAGAAAAAAATTGAAAAAAACCTCAAAAACTCATAAAAGGTTTAGTGTCAAATGAAAATAAAGCTAACTTGCTAAAAACCGTACAGGAAAACACAGTCATCTCCCAAATCGCCGCCCCACAACCCCTGGTCCACCAGCTCCACCTCATCCTCTAGCAGCCTGTCCCCCGACAGCGGTGCTTCACGCTCCCATCAAGCCACCATGCGCGCGTCCAAGAGATCTTCGGTCCTCATCGTGGCCTTCCTCAACATTTTGCTAATATTATTATACGGCCGTTCACATTTTTCCAAACTACTACACAATCGACAACCACAATCATCACGGTAAGAAGAAACACAAACACTCAATATTACAATAACTTGAAAACAATAACTTATCTCGTTAGAAACCACCCCCTTTGTGGCCTCTCGTGATTGCTGACATGTGTCGTATTTACGTGCATTTTATAGTGATTTTCGTGTCCATTTCATCGTAGTTTGATATATAATTAATTATTATATAATTATTTATTATTTAATTATTTTTATTAAGCTATGATGAGGTGTTTTATTTTGAGTTTTAACAGGAAATGGGTTCGAGTAATTATTGGAGTCGAAAACGGCGCGCAAATTGGTCGAAAGCGGTGTTCACATGATGTATTGGAACTATCCTAATAGCAAGGCCCGCAAGGATAATCAAAAAAACCCACTCAGAAGACCAATCAGGCCCAAGTGCCCAGCCCAAATGCTCAACCCACATGCTCATTAAGTAGAGGGCAGTATAGTCATTTTGCAACAAAAGGGTCTTCTTCTTCATCACGTTTGCAGCAATCATCCGCCATAACTGCTGAAACTCGCCACCAAGCCGGACCATCTCGACCATCGTAGGACCGCCGGAGCTCCGACCGAAGAACAAACAGTCGTTGAGGAGAGAAAACCGAGAGGGGCGGCTCCTACCCGTCACCTCCACGCAGATGGACGCCATGGCCGGAATCTGACTGGAGCTCGCCATGTTCGGTGACCTGGACGTACTTTCATCACCAGGAGTCGACTGGGACGCTGGAAAATCGACCAAGAGCATATATACGAGCTAAAACTGATGATTTCGAGCTATTTTTGGTTCCCAGGTACACACGGGTCGTGTGAGCCCGAGACACGGCTCGTGTCGCTCCGACGGGTCGTGGAACCTGCTCTCGACTTTGTCACACGACTCGTGTGGTTTATGACACGAGTCGTGTGGCCCTGGAACTTATGGGAGTTAGTTGTTCATCTTGAGACCAAGAAGAGATAGATACAATTAATATCTACGATTTGACTTGTTCGAGAGAAAGGTTTGAAATCAATTTAGCGATTATCTCTACGACTGGTAAAATTAAATAAGGTTTGTTTGAATATAAAGTTTCATGAATTAATTGCCTAGAATCTACTTTTTGTTTCTTTATTTATTTTTATTTTTATTTTTTAGATAAATTAGTTTCTAGTTTAATTCTTAGTTTATAATCATCATTCAATTCACTAGTCTAGATAATATTTAATCTTCATTATTTTAGTACTTAATTAATTTAACTACAATCTCTGTCTTCATTATTTTAGTACTTAATTAATTTAACTACAATCTCTGTGGAATACGACCTTGCTCGCCACTACCTATAGATACTCCGTACACTTGCGGATAGCGAAAATAATTAGCGAACAACTGCCCTAATCGGAGTCAATCAAAATAACAGCTAAAACCGCACGCACAACTAACCGAAAGCCAAGAAACTTACTCAGGCAGAGAGACACAGCCAACTAGGGTCATCGGCATAATATACATTAGGCTTGTCGTGTGTAGCATAATCCCGGTGGCTTCCGTCGCCAGCTTCGGTTTCGACAAGTAACCCGCCAGCACCGTCACAATATCATACCACCGCCACTCCAAACATATCCCGACACAGTTCGGCACCGCCAACCTCAGCAGCCCCACCACAAAGTAAAATTATTGTTATTCAAACGAAATAAAAGGCACTAAATACAGTAATAAAAAATTACTCCAAAAACTAAAAATGTGGAGCTGTGTGGTTTCACGACTCCAATTCGTTGTGCTGCTCTGTCTCCATCCACCCCATCCAAGCCGACAGTGCCTGACAGCCGCTCACGACTCCTATTCGCCATCACTTGAATCACAATCGTTGGAGCTGTGTGGTTTCACCGACTCTATAACCACATGGCTCCACCCTATAGTGCCGCTCGGCAGTCGCACTGCTCTCTGCCAACGATCCTTTATCAGCCGCCGGTAGCCGTCCGTCGATCTCCGACACGGGCCTCATCCTCTCTCTGGCCGTTTTTCCGTCAATTATGGTGTTGTCTGCCTATCTCAATCATGCCGCCGTCCCCGTGTTGCCGACGAGAGTTGTCGATATCGGGCAGGCGCACGACCTCGTCTTCTCAGAAATAAGGGGTTTTTGCGTTGGGCGTTTGCGAGGGAGAGAAACGAAGGAGATGAAGAAATTAGGAAGGAAGATGAAGAATTTGGTAATTTTGGTGTGCAAGGGAAGGAAGAAGAATTAAGGGAAGAAGAAGAGAGAGGAAAAAAAGAGAGGGGGATACGGAGAAGAGGAGAAAAAAATGGAGATCTAAATAATGTTCAGTTTTGTTAAAAGATATTGAAGATTGAAGATTGAAGATTTTTTTAGCAATGTCTTTTTTATGGAAGTTAAGATAATGTAACTAAAAAAATCTGGAACGACATTTTCCTATGGGATCTTTGCCAAATCTCATAACATTAAAAAAAAATTATCTGATTGTTTTATATAATTAAACGGCGGGTTACATGGGATCGAAAATTCAAATAATTTTTGCGAAATGAAAAAGCGGGAAAAACACTATATTCAAGCGGAAAAACAAAATATTTTTTTTCGGATTGTTCAAATAATTTTTTTTCTCCGTATTATATAGTAATAGATAAGGGTATAAATAAACGAGTCTGTGTGGAGCGATGACTCAATTTCATACCGTTTAAATTTCCAGAGATAGCGTGATGTTGCAAGGTTCTTCAGCTATGTTTTGAGATATAAGTTTGAAACGATAATTGCTTTCACCTGGTTCTATGGTGTAGTGGTTAGCACTCTGGACTTTGAATCCAGCGACCTGGGTTCGACTCCCGGTAGGACCTTTCATTTTTAAATTATGTGTTTTT